CGTTAATTTTACCGGTTGCTATCGCTATTATGGAGAGAGTATTTTCTGCAATGAGCACTGTAAAGAATATATTGATTAATCGGTTGGGTGATCAGTGGATGAATGATAGCATAATTATTTATATAGAGAAAAATACATTTCAAAAAAGAAGGATTTTTTTATTTACGTGTAATCTTATTTTATTGGAGAATGTGTGTTTGATAAATAAAAAAAAATGAATTATAATTTAATGGGGAACAATGGGGGGTGAATTGTCTATTTAGTTACTGAACTTTCAGCCGCACACAAGGGGTCACTGAACTTTCAAAATTTATTGAGTTGTCTCGCCACGTCAACTGTCACGTGGAAATTTTGTCTAATTTATCAATGGCCGTTTGTTCAGTGACTTCTGGGATGATGAATTGTAAAGTTCTGTGACTAGTTGCGTTATTTTGAAAGTTCAATGACCCCTTATGTGCCTTGCTTAAAGTTCAGTGACTAAATATACAATTCACTCCAATATTTATACTCTACAACTTTATTTTGAAGCGTGAAAGATGTTTGTGGTTCGGTCGGGGTCCTATTATCGTCCAATAGAATTGTTTGACGAAATGTATAAAATTCTTGTTAATATTCTTCGACACCATAATCAATTGTACTTGTGGCTAAAAATGTTTCTCTTCTCGTGTGATTGTCACAAATTTATTGCATTTTTTGATTTACGTGTACATCAAGTCATCAATGCATTAAAGAGCCTACCAATTATACGTTGTTCAATTCCAAATTTTTCACCGTTTACCCCACAATCATGCAATCTGGCTTGTTTTAACCAATTAAAACTATGGTAAGTAATTCTACTAATAATTAACGTTTGAATCCAAATGTTGTCTGGATTAATTAAATCAAACTATATTTATCGTTTTGGATGCTGGTCATTCGACCAAATGATTGCAATTCCATCTTTTCTTAAATTCTATGTTTGTAAATTCATCATCGATCTTTGTTCAATATTTCACATTACACGTGTAATGATAGCACACAACATCACACGAAGCATTGAACACTTTTTAGCATTCAATGATGAAATCCTTGAAAATCGAGCATCTAGTTCTTGGCTGCTTCAATATCATACCCCACTTGTCACGTTTTTCTTTTAGTTCATATTCCCTTTTTGTTCTAACGATACGCAAGGAAGGGCTCATTTTTGTAGGACTTGTGTTTTTGCCTTTACTTTTTATAAAAGAGCTGCATAAGGAAATTATATTCAACCAACATCGTATAAAAACTCTTCTAATCGAATAAAAAACTTTTACAAAATTATTGAAACGTGTTAGAAAATAGTTTTTGACTTGTCAAAAGTCCTATCAGATTGACCGAAGTCATTCTAGATGTTTCCAATCTTCATTGAATGCCATCGAAGAAGTGGATCTGCATTGGGGTTTTTGATTCATTATTATATGATTGACTAAACTTAGAAGAAAGGCCACACACGGAATATCAATGTCACCTTAAACAAACTTCTATAATAAAATTTGGTGATAATCTCATAAATCTCGTACTTATCTGAAAATTGATTGTTAAGAGTCAAAAGCTGTTTGACCAACATTAAAATTTTCATTTTCATTCTTCTATCAATTTTCAACCACACATTTTTTAATAAAATAATATTTTTCATCACATCAATAACTTTTCCTTTTTTTTCGATCATACATTCTCCATCAATCTACTATTTCAAAATACATTATTCTCAGATAATGTGGCTCAAACACATTTTTTAATTAATCAATTGGAATAGTTTCGCTTATCTCCTCTCCAAACGGAGTCAATCATAAGCACTATTTTTGTAAAAACCTAAATACTTTCTCAATTTAATCGCCCATTGAATAATTACCCAAGGATCCCTAGACAAATAACATTCGTTTTAGGCAATTTATTGCTTTTTTGATGAACAACTTTCACACTTCGGAACCTTGCTATATCATTTTCTAAGCAAATTGGAGTCTATCAACATGCTAAGCTTTGGAAGAGGAGATTGACGTTTTGTACAAATATCCCGTTCCTAATCAAACAACTAATCAAATAAAAATGGGACTATTCAAACAGCATTCTAGACATTTTTTGACCTTTTTTTTAATAATCGTGGATGTTCGGGCCAGCTTGCGCGCACATCGACTAATCCCACGGGGCCCTGAAGTTCACGATCGAGTACTCACCTCAATGACTTTTTTGACTTTTACACGATGGAGCCAGAAGAAGATCGAGTAAGAGTGAAACACCTCTCGTCAAGTTTTAACACTAAAAATACAATCATCAAGATTTTATCCTTACACTCGTGATATTTGGTAGAAATTAAACTATAGTGACACTAATCACGACAAACATATTATTGCGTATCATACCCTTCCAATAGAAATGGAGAAAACAAGATTTTCTTGACAATATCTTCTATTTTTTAATTTGAATGTTTCATTGACTTTAAAGCTTAACTTTAATCAGTTTTTGTGGGGTCCTTTGTTGTCCGGTCTTTAACATATAAAAAAAAAAAAATCAGCGTTAGTCAATATTTGGATAATTGAGAAACCAGAAGACTTTTAAGGATTAGGAAACTGCATGAAATTAAGTTGATTGAGTGCAATAAGTTAAAATCAAACTATAAGTGTAAATTATACTTGTTAGGTAACATATTTTTTAAATAATTTAATAATTTTGTCGTGTAAGTAAATCATTTGTCCTTAGTTAAGTTTAAATTTGAGGGGTTGTTTGAAAAAATTTCTTGATAAAATTTTTAATAGTTTTCGATAAATTTTGATAATATACGTAATTAAAAAGTTCGTAAAAGTTATAAGTCCCCCGTAAAATATATGATTAAAAATTAATTGCTAAATTCAACTTTAATTTATTAGCAACTTTTTAAATTATCCTATACAAGGAATGGAGAATATTCACTTCTCAAATTTTGTTATACTAATGTAAAGAAATAAAATAACTTAAAAATTGATTCACCTTATATTTTGTGATAAATTTGGGTATGTTAAAAGGAAAGAAATCAAACACTTAACCTATAATTCACTTACCTATTCAAGAAATCAACAATTTCATTATGCAAATTTATACATGAAAATTGATGAAGGATGGGAAAATATTACAAGTTACCCTATGAACTCTTAAAAAATTAGAACCTTTTTGTGGGTTATTTTAGTAAATATCGTTGTGTAAATAACTCTTAGAACTTGGTAGAGATTTTTTTAAAAAAATTTTAACTCGTTTTCAATAATATTTTCTTCCAGTAAAATAATTTTACATGTAAACTTATAATTTGTATCTAGAAAATCACTTTTCATAAATTCAATTGTCACAAAATCTACATCAATCACACCATTAACAAAATATGTTTACAACACTAGTTCTATAGCTATAAATAATATACATGGGAAAAACATTGAGGGGTTGTTTAATTGGTCAAACTTTGAGTTTGCTTCCCAATAGTCATCAGTTTGATTCCCCTCAGGAACTCGTGACATTAGTTGATATGCGCGCAAATTGGTCCGAACTCTCACGGTTATCAAAAAATACATATATATACATAGGAAAGAATGCAGATGCTACATAGAGTTAATACAATGGCGATAAACAATTTAACAACTAGCAAAACACACAACTCTAAATGGTTAATTATTTATTATTCTCAGAAAAAAATAAAAGAGAAGAAAAAATAATTCACTATAATGATATGCCAATTCTTGTCATACAAATTAATGTCGTAATTATAATTTATTTGACCACTATCTGCCCATCCTAATATCTTCCTTCATCCGTCGTATGAAATCTTCGAACTTGTCGTTCAACTCTTCGTTACTCAACATCTCCATGCTTTCTTCTTCTTCTTCTTCTTCTTCAAATAGTAACCCTATTTCCGACTCGTTTTCATCTTTGATGTTACAATTTTCGCCTCCTCCTCCGTCATCAAGGCCGTCGCACTCTAATTCTACCGTAACCAAGTTTGCGAGTTTCTTTTCATCTACGCACAAGCACCCAATTTCGGACTCGTTCTCAATTTCTACGTCTTTGATGTTACAATTTTCCCCTCCTCCGTCGCCATCCAAATCTTCCATAACCGAGTTATTGAGTTTCTTTTCCTCTTCACAAAAGCATTCTTCAACTACTTCTTCTTCTTCTTTTGATGCTTCTGCTTTATTTTCTTGCTTTAGCTCTTCGTTTTCTTCATCATCTTTAATCAACAAGCTGCTGCGTTCTTCTGTCTCGAGAGTTGGCTGCAAACATCCGCCAATCTTCCTCTGCAAAAACTCATTATGATCAAAACCAGATGAAGAACGAACCGAGCCGCCAGATGTTTTTGCAACAAACACTAACAGCCCATTGCAAATCAGAAATATCCAGTTTTTGTTTAATGCAATTCCCAGAAGATGGATTAATGGACTTGCAGAAAAGTAAAATTTCAATGAACTCATAATTATGGAAACTAGAGATACCGAGAGCATAATCTTCTTAAATTTACTCATCGTTTTCCTCAGCTTTTGTTACTCCATAATTTTCAATATATAGACGTAGGATTCTTGGGTTATGACAGAAATAACCTTAATTGGTTGTAATAAATAAATAAATGAATAATTAGTGGCTTAGCAGAAGTCCCAAATTTCATGGCTGCCAAGAATTGCCAAACGTGATGAGATTAGGGCATCCAACTACCCCAATGGGAGTTTTGTGGGTGTACAAGGTTGCCGTTTGGGAGGGGTACTCTTTTGAGATTACTTAGGGTTTTCATGTGTCAACGCGTCCAATCCAACCCCACATTATGGTAAGCTCCTGTCTGGTCTAGCTTAAAATTTTATTATAAATTTAAGACCGAACGAACAACTAATTTTAATCAAATATTAAGACCCGCAATTTTTATTAACTTGTCAATCACATATTTCATTAACTTTTATTCTAAAATTTACTAAAAATTTGATTTTTAGCTCTTCGTGTCCACCAACAAAGAAATATTTATAATCGAAAAACGTTATACCTCACCGTGTATAATGTTATTATATGCTCGATAACGTCGTAACATCAAATAATATGTCTGTCTAAATAAGGACCAGCTCTTGGTGAATAGTGATCAAGAAATTGTAATTCTACTTTTGAAATAGAAGATAATTTTTTTTGTTTGTGCTTATCAACTAATTAATAATCAATTTCTAAATCTTATTATTTTTTTTTAATTTCTGTAAATTTGGCTATTGTATGTTACATAGCGGGAGCAATATATGAATATTTTCAAAGGATTTGCCAAAGTGCCATGTCTAGATAGTGCCTATATTTGAGCTAGGATTTTGCTACTTTGAAAAAAATTGTAACAGATGTAGTAACGTAATCCCAGTTAACAACTGATGATTTGATGGAAATATTGATTATGTTTAAAACAGTTCAATGATAAGATGTCATGTGACATTATATCAACTATTATGTTACAGTAGCATGAGCTATATCATCAAACATTATCCAACTAAATGTCTATCTCATCACAATATTTTGCAATATTAGCCTGGAGAAACCTAGAAGTTGGCTTCTGATGATTGGCAAATCAAACCTCTACTTTAGCAGAGCAAGCTGTCATAAGTCACTCAATTATCTGTTCCCATTATAAACAAAATCAAACACAAAATCATTACAATGCTGGCATATTTCATATTCAAGTTTTGGTCGGAACCATGAGTTACAAAAGCAGGCAATACATGAGTTGACGCAACCTTTGCATCGATATATGACACCTAAGTAAGTATTAAAAGCAACCATAAAATTATAAGGAAATGACTGATATTTAAAAGTAAAGAGGACTAACCATGACTTTCAAAAAATGGGCTGCACTGATTTTGAAATTCATGTCAGAACTCACAAACAATTCCTAGAGGATGTTAAATATCATACTATGATGTTCTTCAAAGATGCTGCATAGTGGAAATGCTAAAACTCAATACACAAATAACTAAAGTCAGCACACAATCTCAATGATTTGAAAATTAATTCGACTATACCAACCAAATAAAGAGAACAGAATTGATAATCTCATGCTTTGCCGACTAACCTTCCAGTCCAGAACTTGGTATGAAGAGGCTCCTCAAGTACTGGGTCAATTCTTCATGCTTGCTTAGCAGGACACACATTGTAGCAAGTCTCTCAACCACTAAAGTTTGGGGTCTCAAACCTGTCGTGTAAGAAACAATGCCTAAGATACAGTTACTATTAGATACCAGTATTCGTAATTGTTCAGAAAAACATTTGCCTTTTATTCTCGACTGCATAGTGGATGGGAAAAATTTGAAATCAACATTTTCATCAAACTGCGACCAAAAACACAGGAAACATGGTGTGTGTGTCAAATAAGATTCCCCAAACTGCTCGGCTACTGATGACGAAATCTGTAGAGATTACCAAACCTTTGAATGTCTCAGAAAATAAGAAAGAAAAATTATAGGTGTTATCCCCCCGTTCCGAGGTTACAGAAATTGGCCACATGGCATGCCACGTGTAAGGAGGTCAGAAAGGAGCGAAGGGGACAACCGAATGGGTCAGGAATCCCACGATGGGAGTAGGCTAAGGCCCTTTATCCAGGAACCGACACCTTCTCATAGCTTCGGCCCGAGGTACCCCTCTAGAACGATGCGAGGCGTAATCCGAGGTCTTCTTAGTGTCCCTTGAGGGTCGTGGACTCGGCGTTGC